ACGCATTACATTTCATACATGTGGGGAGATTCGGTTTTCAAAGGTATTGTTATTATCGAGAAAATGGAGCCGTATGGTCATGCTTCATGTATCCAATGTAGGTGAAATGGGATGCAAGGATACGAAACGGTATCCAGTGTGGAGCACCCCCCTGGCTTGTATGCAAACCGTTTGATATCATCCGTATACTCGCTCATGAAGTGCAAGGGGTATTTTATAAAGTATCAACACGGAGGTGCGCGCTATTGGCCGATACTTCTGTGATTCCTTCTTTGGCAGTGATGCTATTCTGGCTGCTTTCCAGTTGTCTCGTATGGTTAAACACCGGTCGAAAACTCTATCAGAGGTGCCTGTAGTGCATCCGCGAACTTTTTCATAGGGAATGGGAACGGCATCAGGACCATTTGCCCGGTGTGGTTTAATTGGGTGCGGAGGATCAGTGATGGGTAATGAAGATAGAGAAAGTGTGTTCTATGATGAGATGCTGAACTTTATGTTGTGCTTATTCACACCTGCGGTACCGAATGGGCTACTGGAATGTCTGCAGGAGAGTTGCTTCAAGAGCCTTCACGGATCACGGCAACAGTGATTTCCAAAAACAGTTTCACTGTGCATGCTGGAGGGATTTTGTGCTTACAACACCAACACAATTTTTAGTGGCGTTCAAAGAAGAGGACCAAACAATGTACTTGCGAAATTGAAATCTTGGATTAGAGAAAAACATGTGGGTACTAGTTGCGTGGCTCACATTGTCTACAAAACATTGTAAACGGCAGCTGACTTTCGTCCTATTGATGTTGACGCAGTTGTGGCGAGAATGTATTTCTACTTTCACATTTACACTGTTCGCGTTGAATGACTAAAGGAATCCTGTGATCATTACAATGATGGAATACCAATGCGTTTGAGGATACGGGAAAACCAGACAGATTTCACTTATACCAGCAGTGGAGATAATCCAGAATGCATTTTCAGCGTCAAAATCCTATCCTTTTCTCGACATAAGTGTTCTACAGTATCATAATATTTCTTTGAAACTCTCTGCCCTGAGCTGTGGCCTTTCTTTATACACAATGTCTGCCATTTTCCATGCTGCTGTACTATTCAGGAACAAAATATTTCACCATTATCAAGTCAAAGTAAGCTTTATCCACCTGTGTGGGTGCATTTTCAGCATTTTACACCAACACAGCGGATTAGACAACAAAGCATCACCGAGAAATAATAAATAAAAGCGGTAAACGAAAGTTGACATCATTCCAGCATGTGGTTGCGAAAGCGGAGTTCCACTCCACTTGTGTCGATTAGTAAGCGTGATAGAAAAGGCAGTATAGAGTTTCGATGCGACGAGGTAGAAGAATGCAAAATTTAAAAATTTTTCCCCTTTTGTCATTTGCTGGGATAACACTAAGCACGTATTGCACACTCCTTGCTCTGGCCAGTTACGCCTGCGCAAACGCAACCACGATTCTACCGCAGTAGCCGGGTAATGAGACACCGCTGTTTCGATTTTGTACGCCTGTCTCCGTTCCAACCAGCCCGACACACCGTATGTATCGAGCGGTGAACTTGCCATGTGGCGTGCCGCAGATTGACTCCAACTCAACCATCTGCACCATCCAGCGTTTTCACGACTGGGAAGTACACATGTACCCAGATACATGCATACCGGTCGTTCACACCCATGTGACCGAGTGTGACATTGAGATAGACCAACATCTACTATTGAACAGTTAGCACTTTAGGGCGCTCTACCTCATACCCGAAGGAGAGACCCTTTGTCGCATTTACAGAGTAGAGGGACCAGAGTCTTGTGGCTAAAAGTTGGGGACAGCCGAGTAAGTTCCAGCTCATTCGGAACAGGGGAAAAAAACCCTTTTAATGAGACAGCGGATAAGTGAGATAGACATCCGGTCCACTCTCGGACGAGTCACCTAGCCCATTGAAGGGAACACTCCGAAGAGCAGTTCAGCAGACCTGCTGCGACTCTGTCGCTTGCTGAATCAGTTGTACCCAGGTGTAAAGTTGATGTCACACGGCCCACCTTGGAATGAATTCAACACGGGTCAGATATGTTGAAAGGAAACAATACTCCTAAATCCGACAGCTTTCCTGTAGGACAGATTTTTTGTTCACTGAACTTGCTGTTCTGTTCAACGCCATTTGGGACATAAAAGAGACGCCTTCAGACTGGCGACTGTTAACTGTCATGCACATATTCAAAAAGAGTCGAAGCACTTTGAACGCAAATTGTGTAAAAGTTGCTTACTCAGTTAAAATATCCGAGGCATTATCCTTTTTCTTTTGCTTCTAAACTTCGCACGCATCACTCGTCGACGACTTACTGGTCCTAGCGAGAGCCGAATCATTAACGTTCAAACTGGCTTCCGTCTTGATCGTGGCTGCACTGACTACATACTCATCATGTGTCAAGTATTGCCGGGGAAACATAATTACAGATGATAGACTATGTTGCTTTTCCATGGCATGTAAATCGACTTCAACCCCGTCAATCATGCTACCTTGTGACACTGACTATGCGTGAAGGGGGTGGCAGAGAAACTATTTTCCATTCTGAAATCTCTCCGCCGAGACTCTCGAGATCGGGTAAGTCTACGGAAAGCTGTCTGCTGAGTTCCCCAGGACGAGTGGGGTTCACCAAGATAGCGTTATATCCTTTCCTCATCAAACTTGGTGATTGAAGTTGACACAAATGAATCTACTCTCAGCTTCTTCCGGAGTTGAGGTTCCGTCAGGTGACCGACTGACAATCTTTGAGTATTCGGACGACACAGTTCACCTTGGGTCGAACCCAGTGGAGATGCTGAGTGGATTGACTCGTAGCGATGCATGTTTCGGCATATGCTGCGAAGTATTGTTGCAGAATTGGACCGATATGTCACCGGTTTTAGCTATCAGAGAACAGCCACCGAAAGTGGTGGATCGGCTCACTTACTTTGGTACTGGTGGTCAACTAATGAGAAAGCGTATCAGCAAGGCCCATTTGACTTCCCACAAACTTAACCATCTTAGGGACAGCAGGATATCAACTTGTAAGTGAAAAGCAGTGTGTATAGCGCTGCGAGAAGGCCAATGTTAGTGCATGAATCAGAAACCTGGCCAGTTCGCAGTAAGACACTTGGCGGTCTTTGACCACCGGTGCTCGCAGATCATTGGTCACATGTGGTGAGAACACCGGATGAGAAATATTGAGGTCCGCGAGTTGGTTTTGGGCAAGAAACCCTTTGGTGTCTTACTCGAGCGTTTGCTGAAAGTTAACCGCTTACGCTGGTTAGGTAATGCCCTCAGTATGCCCGTTGACTGAGTTAATCGGCATGCATTACACGCCATCGATGCATCACAATGGGCAAGAGAACGAGGTAACCAGATGAGTACGAGGCATAAAAGCATGAAGAATTAGTCAACATCAGCAGCATTACACATTAGCTGAAGGCGCGAAACACGCTGCAACTATTGTGCCGCAATACATAAAGATAAGACAAACGAAAAAGCAAGATACTGAAAATTATATAATGTAAAAGCAGGCAACATACTGCCTAGTAACATACTGTGCGTCAAGAGGGAGGTCGTGGTTGGAGGATGAAGATAAGCGGGATTAATAGAGAAAGGAACTCTCAAAACAACCGCAGTTCAGATCAGTTCCTTGCCATATCAACTAGTGTATCCAACCAAACGTGTTCATCGTCCTTCGAACCCTAGTCAGGCAGTCGGGACACACCAACCGACAATAGCTTCGAAGTGAGGGATTTCATTCCTCTTGACCAAGTCATCGCTTGTTCACCTCTCCTTTGCTTCCATGCACGCCTCCGGTCGCGTCAACAATGCACAACGCGGGAGTCGGTATGCCGGCATGCGCAACATGTGGTCCAGCCATCGGAGTCAATACAACACAACCCCATGAAGAAACAGAGAGACTTGATCAGGCTGGTGCGTGCCGTCTTCCCGGATTGGGACCACGTGATGGCCGACCTCAGTGGTTAGAGACCGTATCCGGTATGACACAGTCGCGCAGTCAGTGGCACTACTGCATCTGCTTACTGACATCTAGCCGTTAATATTCCATCCTAATTAGTTGTACACTTATTTAATAACAACCTTCTCCCCATCTTCTACACCAGCTTCTCAGTGTTATTTATTTTTATCATGGCGACGTTAGTCGTGGTAAATGGATCCACTACAATTCAAAATCCGCAGTATAGATTTTTACTGAATCGAACTACTGATATTAAGTTGTGCAACGCTGTGGTCCGGATGATGTTAATGCATGGGCATTGACTGCCGATGCTTTCAAAACAATGCCAACACTTGGTTGGAGTATGGTTCACATACGGTCGCAAGTAATGAAAGAAAGAAGTAGATTTAATTAATTCTATCCTTCTAGATATTATAATAATAATAATAATAATAATAATAATAATAATAATGTGTTAGCTGTACGCCGTAACAGCCCTTGGCTGCCGTATGACCACCACCAGTCGCACGCGGGCTGAGTAGACCGCGAGGACGCCCACGCCGACGCGGATTCGAACCCGCGCCGCAAGATTACGATACAAGCTCGTAATCTCTAGGCTACGGATGTTGAGAACAGACAAACAGTGATCGAAGTTCCTGTTCAAAGTGGTAGAGTCAAAAAGACAGTGGCGCTGTAGTAATCAGTTTCGTTTTCGTACCTCCAATGCATACATCAAACGAGTTTTGCGTATTGTTGGACCCCATTCCATGGAACTGCTTGCTTTCCTCATTAACCTCTCATTTGGGTTTTTTGTCTCAGTGACGCAATGTGAAGTGTTTGTGACCATCATACTTCAGTGCTTCATTCGAGGCTGACCTGAAATGATTTGTACTTTGACGCTTGACGACGCAACACCGGAAAAATTACGGTGGTATCTGATTGTACTGATGTCCCAAATCAGAACGTATAATCAAGGCACCCACGATGGGTGCAAATAAAACGAAGAAACAGTCACAAAGCCACTTACCTCTACTGTATGTCCTCGACGTCCACAGTTGCAGCAGCCATGCGAACTCACAGACATGGTCCACGAAGGTTGAATCGGTCTACCAGCTTCGATCTGAAGAGACAAGAAACCGAAGACCGAAGTGAGCAAATTAAAAAAGGACGCCTGTATTGCGCTTTGGTCCGGTGACGATTGTATATAGCTGGTGACAGACGTTCGGTAGTTTACGTGCTTGCTGAGGCACAGGTTAATCCATGGGCTTCAACTGCCCAGAGGGAACAAGAAAAGTATACGCAGAGAACATGGATGTGAATTGTATACATATCGAACAGAAACAGCAGCATATTCGAAGGATCCACAAGAATACTGAATGAATTTAGGATTGGAGTGAAATGTGGAGGGATGCAAGTTTAACAAAAGCTCCCTATCTACAGTTCGGAGGGAAAATGTAATGATTCACAGTTTTAAATGTTAGATTGGCGAGCGTCCCAAGCTAACATATCCATTTCGACTTCGACGCCAGAGTTCCGCGTAACTGTCTGGTGCAGTTTCGGATACATGCGAGAACCGGTCACAGTACTAAAGTTAGCGCTACTGAGGGAGAAACAGCACAGCAAAGGAATAACGAAGGTGATGCGTTCAGCAGATATAACAAAGCAGACGGAATAACACGGTTGAAAGTATACGTTTTGCTGATCTAACAACGGAAGTGCATCAGCCAAGTGCATAAGACAGAAAGTACGTGCAGAAAAAGAAACGTTCGCCAACGATTGATGAGAGAATTGAAGCAATATGAAAATTGGGCAGGGTTTTGTTGAGGAGCAGCATAACTGGGTCAAGGAATGAAACGCACCTGGAGGGCATTCAATTTAAATCCACCAAAAATAAAAAACAAAACGTCAACATACACCATTACACGGAATCTCATAAGCGTAGATTAAGAAATATGCGTGAAACTACTAATTAGTTACAGGCAAGCCGTCACACAACAGTAGTGCCCAAACATCCTACCTAAGGAAATATTAAACAGACATACATGTCTCGCAGTGCACAGGACAGCATGAAGATTACAAGATGGGACAAGATAGGTACTTACAGTATGTTTGTACTGTCTCCACAATTCTGTGCACAGCTGAAATCGAAAGATGGTAGGGGTCATTCCAGTAAGCTAAGGCAAACAATCAGCCAACCCAATGCGAGATAGATTCAGACCACCCAACTCAGTTAACTTCGACTGATACTCTTTAGTGTGGACCGCTGATTACAGATACATAATGCGAAGGTGAAACCTAATTTTAAACAATGATGCATCAACGCACATATATACTTAATCGGCACAAAGTAAATTCGGCTTAATCGGTTCATCCATGACAAATCTCCAATTTAAAAAAACTAATAAGGATGGCAGAGAAAGGTGCACATTGTAGAGGATAGGCGAATTGAATGAGATCGAAAGTATGTGGTCTGCGCCGATCGATACAAGTAGGACGTTTAGATGTCGATGGACAAACATTTTGCCACTGAGACAATGGAGAAGTATTCAACAGCCAAACAAAATATATGGAGTTAGCTTTGGCAAAATGAATGCCAAATTCGAGGGCAGGCAACGTGTCGCAAAGTTATTAGTGTTGTTATCATAAAAGTGTCCAAGAAATCAATGAGTACAGACATAAATCCCAATTTGCCTGAAACGGACAAAGATGGCCGACGAAGGCACGCTACTAGATCTTTGATGACAAGTTTGCGCATATACATAGCAGTGACAAGTCGAGAGTATGGTTTCACACCGGTAACATAAAACAGTATTACCTGTATGGGCAATATCAAATCAGGTTGACTGGACCACCATGCTCCAAAGGCCCCGATAATATTCCCCAGTATTAGTCAAATGTGGTGAGGTTTACATTTGCTCTCAACGTCTTTCCTCTCATCATCATCATCATCATCATACAAGTTAGCTAGAGGCGGGAACACCTCAGCTACTGTGCCGCACTTTCCTCTCTTAGCAGTCATGGGAATATTTCCTTTGTACTAGAAACAATCGATATCGATCACACGTTGTAAGGATGATTTGACGCAAAACTAGAGACATTACCTGTCCATCAAACATTCACTATCTCCAGAATCACTAAGCGCATAATTGAATAGTGAAATTTCCTGAACCTCCACGACGAATAGCTATGTGGTTTGTTGCAAAAGATATCGTACCCTGATGGCAAAGTTGTTCGGACTAAATTACTACAGCAAAAGGCAAGTGAAGGGTGATCGCCATTGTAGGTGGGTTTCGGTGTTACTCCTCCCAAAACTGACACTCCACAACCGGTTTCACCCTCAGGGTCTAATGGTTAACGGCTGTCGCATTCATCACCGAAACCTCTCCACATCTGATACGGTTCTGGTGATAGGAATCACATTCCACTTCAAAGTAAACCGAGGACTCAGTAGAGACTGTGTCGCAATCCAAGCAAACGGTGGGTATTCCAAGCCGGACTCTGATCGTCTGTATATTTGTTATATGAGCCAAGAGTTAAATCTGGCTCAATATAAGGCCTTGCAAAAACCCAATTATTCACGGAGTCACAAGCGCTTCGATAAACTGTGTCCTCTTACAATCTAGGTAAGAGATCGTAAAATTTGCAGTAGTGTATAAGAAGTTAAACCAATAATTGGTGGGGTAATGTAATAAAGCGTGTTGGTTTGCTTTTATTGTCGATTCACATAAATGACTTGTGTTCGTACAGAAAATCCGGAAAGTCTGTTTCCCCAAAATGACGACAGCAAAATCACGTCTCGCTCGCCCTCGGACAGAGAAATGTCAATTCAACTGGACTTATTCTTCTCGTAGAAGTATGGAGGTTTGACGCGCAGTACCTCATCTGCGACATTTCTGCTCGTTACCCCATACTTAACAAGTCTGTAGTCTCTAAGTAAGTACAGTCCATGACTTCTGATTGAGGTAGTCTACCCCATTTAATACCTAAAGGAAGTAATACGCTCAAATGTCAATGTTTTAATAATGTTAGTGTCTGCACGTAGAACGTCTATTGGAGGGCCGTAGGTTAGAGTCATTCGTGGGTGTAATACTACCTAACCATGTAAAAAAATCTGTCAAGAAAGAAGATACCAGCATTGAAGAATATTTAACGGCCCTGTACAAGAAACGAACTTAAATTTAGTCGCAAATGTGAACTACCTGGAACGCCGAAGTGCGTTAGAATTGGAACCGCTATGGTTACGTAGAATTAAGCCCATTCTGAGATTTCTTTACCTCCTGTTCCACAGATTCAGTCGCACAGTCCCGCCTAGACCCGAGTCTCAAACTCAAAGAAGTATGTAATAATAAGAAATAGTGAACGGGTACTATACAGTCCGATGACAAGGGCCAAAGTCCGCTAAACATTTGGGCAACAAACCATGTGCCAACACAAAGTAAGATGCCTCTGGAAGTCAGCAGTGACAGCAGCTCTTACTGATACATATGAAGGATCAAAAACCACCATGGATGTTGCAAACATCACCACAATGCTCAGGATTATCTGTATGGATAGTGCTGTTCACTGCATGCACCGACTAGCTGTTTAAGATTGCCCAGTTGCGATTTCCACCTCAGCATCAGGTGGCACCACCGACGTCCTTAACAAGCGTTTACGCGATATCTTGCTTACTGCACACAATCATCCTCAATGAGCATAGGTCAATTGATACCGGGACTGTATTCCACAACCACCGGTTGCTGTCTCGTTCATGCTCTCACTTGGATTCAAAACTGTCAATGGGTTAATAAAAACATATGCACATAGGTATGGTTGTTATGGTCACAAAGAAAACCTGCTGTGAGCCAACGTAAACATCGGCGCACTAGAATCTCTTGGTTAAGCTCACTAAGTTCTATCGCTTCATCCTACGCTGTCTTAAAAGTAAATGATGGTGGGTAAATGGGGGCATAAACGACAGCGTGGTCCTGCAGCCAGCTACATTCGTCGAATTTACTTGGATCACTTAGATTGAAACACAACTGTGTGGTCATGGTAACAGGTGCATCGCTGTTGAACAGTAGACGCCCACTCGTGACTTCATATAATTTATCTCCTTTTCTCACCACTGCATGTGAACCTAATGATACAATTTGAATATTTCAGAACACCTGTGTTCTGCGTCACATTCTGCCTTTGTCCGGAGACTGCTTTTTTTGCATTTTCATCTTTCATCATGAGATCAAAATCACTGGAAGCTCATGACAGGAAGTGCATAGCACTCCACTGTGGTTGAATGCTTATTTTAACTCGCCTCGCTCATGCAACAGCGAGTAAATATCAGTAGGGCCTTAGCTGTCCCCCAATGGGCACAACCTGACATGAAGTTTAGAGGTCCCTCCGCCTGTGTAGATGCGTTTAAGTAATTCAACAGCGAATACGTGAGCTGCTTATTTAGTGGTGAGTAGACTCGAGCAAGAGCTCAAGTCGCAAGAGCGATCTTAGTACACAAGACTGATGGAATAGAGCAATATTATGCGAAGAAATGCGTCAAAACACATACTTGAAGTTGATGGCCTTGTAAGCCACACCGTTGACAGGTCGAATGTTTCAGATAGTTCCGTAAAGTGCAGGTACGCTTCGAATGACCGGGAGCAAGACAAACATAGCAATATATACTTTTGCACTCGTTCTTTGTGTGTCCCTGGTCACCGCAGAAGATACAGGCAGGGCCGGGCTGCAATAAAGTTGTGATGGAAGCGCAACGCGATGAGGTGGGTAAAGAAATACTTTTGCAGCGGGAAGTTAGGCGGATACAAATTAGACCCATGGTGGATGCGGTAGATGCCAGATACCATTTAAATACAAGCCGACAGCGCGAACAGCAGAAGGGAACAAACTTCAAAGTTGATGCAAACAAAGAACAAACGTACTTTGCGACAGTTAGAAGAGAAATGTCCCCGCTTCTTGCAGGTTGAACAAACGGTGTTGGAAGCGTCACTGAAGTACCTTGAATCACGGGGTTTCGAGCGTTGGAGGAAAACATCCTCAAGATCAACGTGCCATAAGTTCGGATCGCTACTACTGGCGGCAACTCGCTGAGTGATGAGTGAATCATCATCGGGAGTGCTCATAGTTGAGATCGAATGCCCGGCGACACCCAAAACAACATCGTCTGAGCACCAGTGTAAGCCGGAAGATGGAGTTGAGGAGTCACTTGACGTCGCTTCAACATATAGATCAAAAGCATCACCATCGTCAGAGGTGGAACTAATGTTGACACATTCGGGGCCATCACGAATGTCAAAATCTTCGTAATCAGAACATGATTCATCTCGGAATGAACAGATATTCACAGAAACAGTCTGCCCAGTCTTATTCGAAATCGACGGCGTTTGACTACTAACGTTCGAGGATACGTAGTTAGAAATGGATTCGGTGTGGTTTTGGAAAAGGCTGGTGTCTCGTGCGACGTTTGGCGAATAACACTCGCTACCGGGTGGCGCTCCGAAGAAAACGACGCTGTAAAGTCGCTGTTCTGTTTCTTCATCTACAAAATCGCTATCGTAATTGTGCGGTTCGAATTCTTCGCAATCCATCCACTAGGATAAGAGAGACACTGGAAAGTAGAGCAAAGCAAGGGTGATAAAAGGGTCCAAGTCAAAGGCGAGGCGCGAACATACATTATTCGGTAACCGCTCAAATGGAAAATAACAGGCTCAAGAGTGAGATAGAAGTTCACATATTCCCTTTACATGTATGGAGATAGAGCAAATGAAGTGTTAGGCCGAATTTCATATTAGCGCGAGTAGGCAAGTGTGCCAGATATTAATAGATGAGGCACCGAAAAGCCCAAGACTTGTAATAGCAGACAATCCGCGACATCAACTGCCTCATTATCTCCACTAAATTATCTTGGTATGCTGGACCCGCACTTTGCCGGATTTCTCGTCTCGCTTTGACGAGCATTTTCTCTGAAACAATTTCGGCAGAGGATGTTTCTACCGTCTACAAATTTCTGTAAGCTTTCGCTCTTATTCACTTGTAAAATTTCGCGCAGTTTCAAGCACCCATCCAGAAGGTTTACTTTTTTCGATAGAGGGATCTTCCAGCTTTCCGTAAAGTTTTCACTCATCTCATTCCATTACCGTGTGACAGCTACAGAGCAAAATACATTCCCATTGCGAAACTTTGCCAGGGAGGAGACCGTCAACTTTTGCCACTCCTCAGTTCGGTCCGTGCGATCAATTAGCCAGTCCGTAACGAAAACGGTCTACACTAGCCGGTCTGCCCGCGATCGTATGGCGCAGGGACGAAACAAACAAAGTATGAGGAGATAGCCATCTAATCTTGACCTGACGACTGGTGATCGAACACTAGCTGACGGCGAGTCGCTGCAAACCCGCAAAACAAGCAAAGGCCATGCGGCCACTATGGTTAGAACAACTGTAATTCGAAACGAAGTCTTTTGTGTAAAGTAAACATGTGCTACACTAATAAAAGTAGGACTGGCTTGTTCACACTGTACTAGCCGTTACCATCTGAAGTGTGGCCGTCTTTCGAACCGAATTAAAGAAATATAACAGTACGACTGACGCACTTTGGTTCTGGCCTATGTTTACCACGGTTCCAATTTTAAAATGCGCACTGGCATTAGCACAGGAGTACGACAGTCTAGTCACCGAAACAAACATCGGGTAAGTGCAAAAAGTGCTTCGCTCGAAGCGACAATAGAATAGATGCACCACATCTAACTCCCCCAATGGCTATTTCGAAACAAAGAAAAATGGCCAGGCGTTCCCACGGTCTTGTAATACCTGAAACCTTGGGAATCACGAGCCAACTCATCGTCGCGAACGATCGAAACCTGTCCGGCTCCACCGCTCACGTCCACTAATCCAATGCATCGACTGACGCAACATCGGTAACACCTATACTCCCGATTGACCGACAAAAACACCTCTCTAAAGACCGAGCTACTTATGCGAACCTTGCTGCTTGATATAATCAAAGTGCGACTTCAGTAGCATCACCCACTACAGCCACAACGCAGGTCAATGACCAAGTGCAAGCTGCAGAGCCGTCGCTAAAACTCCCGATAGCTGTGCCTCCCACACCATCGGAGACCAGGCGATGCCCTGACACACATATGTACCAATGTTCCTGCGTCCAATACAAACTCCTTAAGGGGTAAACAACAGGATGATTTGAAACAGTGGAATTTCCTTTGTGATCGAATCGGAGTTTGGGCCGGGCCGACTAATGTAATGCGAATCACCAGACATCGATGCACTGCAGTGAGTCCAGGCTAATACGAGTGGGATCCAGAGTGGATTAACTCGTCATTGGTTTCGCACAAAAATTCCCTTACAGTCAGCCAGCTATCGCACGTGGATCGGATCACGAGGGAAAGGTATCATAATTCCCCGATGTGGTCTTTTGCTCCAATCCAGTGACGCGGTGCGTTCACCAGGCTTCGCGATGCTCACGGAGAAGCTGTCTGAGGTCAATGCTGACAGTCTCGCGCAATGAATGGTAGCCAAAGCAAGCAGGAATTGCTTGACGAGCTTCGGGAACCTGTAGAGTCCACATAGAGGTCTAGTAGTTGACAGCAGTATTGGTGAAACTACAGACCGGGGTTGCAGAGTTAGGCATGGCGCTGCAGTTTTGTGCCCAGTGTGTCTTTACGTGTGAGCATGCGGCGCTCTTAAAATTTGAGACCAACGCGTCCTGAAATACGCGAAGAACGCCTACGGCAGAAAGCTTAGCCACGTCAAGTTGTTGTCGACGATGCCGTGGGCTACCATAAGGTAAATCGACACATACTTGAGCGTGTGATCCGAAGTGAGATCGATAACCAACGTTGATATTCAAGTATGCATGCAGCCCCGCTAGCGATAACTGATGGCGACGTGGTCAATTCGTGCTCATGGCTGGCCAGATGATGGGGGCCCCCAAGTGGCGCGTTAGCGCTAGGATCGCCGAAAGCGAGTACTTGACAGGAGGCCGTGATTGGCGCAAACCTGCAGTAGGCGATTACCGTCGTCGGTACTGCGAATACCATGACCATGGTGACCACCGGGCTCACATTCGTCTACCACAATTCTGCCGACCTGCGCGTTAAAGTTCCCGAGAAGCACCACGATGTCCGTATGGCACATTTTTCAGATGTCTTCATGTGGACCTAGTCTTTAACTAACCACGGGCTGGAATCTGTGGGGGTGTACGCTGCTACAACGAACAAGTAACGTCTGCTGGCTCCGCGGCTGGACAGTCGCATTGTGGTTTCACGTCGAATCGCGCAGAGATGACCGTTGACAGGTATCCAGTCTAGCAGCGCGGTCTCGGCACGAGTGCTCAACGCAATTTCCAGGCCGGCAAGGCCAAAGGCTTCGGCGGTTTCGCCATCATATAAGCGCAGTGTGAAAATGCAAGCGGAACCCGCAGGTGGTGAGACGAATTGTGGCGTCGTGATAGGGTTCTGTAATCGACTTTCAGTGAGGCATCAAACATCAGTGGCAGTAGTTCCTAGTGTGTGAGCAAAAGCTGCCTGTGCTCCGATCTGTATCAGCGTCCGAACGCTAAAGTTTATCAATTTGGATTGGGAAGGGAGCGCTAGAAAACGCTTGCCAATATTACTTGGCTACGCACCCTGACGTTAGATCCTAACCCGTATGGGGAGAACACCCGCTCAAGATGGCAGTGTGGCGAACACAAAAACGGAAATGGACTACCAAGGATAGGGGAACTAAACAAATATGGAATAAAGTAATTGCACGATGGTGCAGTAAAGCGCGGTTTAGCATGTTCGGCCGCCAGAGGCTCGGCCAAGAGTAAAAATGCCAAATAGCAGAGATAAAGAGCGGAGAGTCTTTGAAACATCGGTAAATAAGCTTTGGACATCACCATTATAATACGTGTTAGCTAGAGGTAGGAAACGCCTCAGCTACTGTGCCGCAATGCATAAAGAAGAAACATGCAACAGATGCATGCCAGCTGAGCTACCAGCAACGGATGGGCATCGTACAGAAAAGCTACCACTCGGCTACTATGCAAACAACAATTGTTACGCAAAAATATATTATGCTATTAAAAGAGACCATGGTTGGAAGTAAAGGCTAAGAGGGATGGGGAGGGACAAAGAAACTCACAGCACGAACACCAATGAGGTCGGCTCCCAGCTATATCAGTAAGTGTATCCAGCCAAACGTGTTAATCATCTTTCGGATCCCAAGCAAGGAGCCGAGACGCTCCAACCAAATCCAGCTTCGAATTGAGGGACTTCATTCCTCTCGACTATGTAATCGCTCCGCCAGCCGTCCTCTTCTCCTTTCCATACCCCCGGAGCGCAAACGCAAATCGCAGGAGCCGGTGGACTGTCATGCGTAACATGTAGCCGAGCCATCGCAGCCTGGTGTGTGATATAACGGTTCTATGCGGTTCATTTGCTTTTCCTGTGCCGTAAACAAGGCGTCGAACATGCTCGTTGCTCACTCGGTGTTCCCACCAGATGTGAGCTGAATTGTGAAGGAACCTGTAGTTGAACATAACTAGCCTCTTTATATCGGTTGATCTAAGGTGCTAGCTTTTACAACCGTACAGTAGGGGCAAACGTACCGCTGCATTGTGCACTCTACTCTTCAGGGCAAGAGTGACGTCGCGCCGGCGCCATAAGTGGCGAACACTAGCAAAAGCGTCTCGAACCTTTGCTATACGGTTCGCGATCTCATCTTTAATCCCACGGGCGATGATACAACTTCCCAGGTAGTTGAATTTTTGAACGACTTCTAGCTAATCGCCACCAACGGTCAGCGTAGGAGGCGGTCCAGACTAGTCTAGAAGGAACGCTTTGCATTTATAGGGTGCAAAGCAAAGCCAGAAGTGACGGACAGTCAGTGCTAAGCTGTTCAGTGCCACCTGGCACGTTTGTGAGCTGTCACAGATTAGGGCAATATCGTCAGCTTACTCCAAATCAAGAAGTCGTTATCCTGGGAGCAGATCCACACCTTCTAATTCGTGTCCTGTAAACGCGACTTCCATTACTTCGTCAATAGCGAAGTTGAAGAGGAAAGGTGACAGCGGGGATCCTTGTCTCACACCGCTGGAGATATTAAAGGGCAACAACAGCTTGTCGTAAGCCCTCGCTCTGCGCTCGCTACACGCGTATAATGCTCGGATAATATTCACATATTTCTCAGGTACACCTTTCCTGAGTAGACAGTCCCAAAGTGCACGTCTATCCAACGAATCAAATGCACCTTTGATATCGAGAAACACGACAACTATGGGACGCCAATATGTATGACGGTGCTCCAACAACTGACGCAAAGTGAAGATGTGATCAATGCAGCCCCGACCTCCAGAAATCAGGCTTGCTCTTCACGAATCTGGCTTTCATGAGTGCCAGTCAGTCAGAGAAGAATGACAGAGGCAAGCAATTTGAAGGCGATGGAGATCAAACTGACTAATCTATGGCTCTCGCATTCAGATCGTGAGCCTCCCTTGAAAATTAGGACTATGACGGAGCGCCTCCAGTCGGTTGTGACAGTTTCCTGCTCCCACAGTTTCACTAGTAACTCATGTAAATCATCCACAAGAGCAGGTCCCCCGAATTTGTAGAAAGGACTGGAG